ATGATAACAACACACGCTAAAACGCAAAGGTTCGTAAGTAGACGCCATTGACGCTGCAGGTCGGCGTCTTCCACACCGTCTGTGCTGGGGCAGCGCTTCATGTGACGACACAACGTGTCGACGCTTGTTTTTAAACAATGGCATTCTATGGCCATCTGACGCATGCGCAGGTGATGACTCCCCCGCTTTAAACTAAACATTCTACTACGTTGGCAAAATATCGAATGGTAGACCTAAATTTTATTTGATCGTACCATCTCTCACATTGCAACTCATACCTTTCAAATCGTCTGTTATATCTTGATCTGCCGGGTAATCTCCTTCCGGCCCAGGCAGTGGAGTAGAGTGCGCTATGGTCGCATCAGTTCCCACACTGGAAGTCAATTGCTCGGAGGGGCTTGAATACACTCTTATTGTTGTAGAACTGTCTGTTGTAATCGCTGACATTTATATGCATTTGAAGAAAAAATGAATAATGAAAAGAGTCCAAACTAATAATAAAAAATCATTTATTATATCTCATTATATTTTGCGGGGACATGACTACACAGTTACTATTGAAGAATTAAAAAAATAAACTTATAAATAGGCATCATTTTGGTCATAAAAAACAACAAAATTTTGCGCCTGCCAAACTACGTGTCTCTACTTTCATGTAGACATTAATTGCGTATAATGTGTGTTATCACATTGTCACGATTTCTAATCAGTTAGGGATTGGACGGAAAGTACAGGAGGGGTAGGTTGGTGTTTTGGGGGTGGGTCACTGATTTTCGTGCAAGTGTTGAGGGGAGGGTTACAGTAATCTGTGCAGGCATAAAGGGAAGGGTCATATTTTCACATTTCAACAAACACCTATTCTTATTACTCATTTAGCAGTTGTATTTACATTGAATGACATGTTAATAAATCTAAGTTATATACAGAGCTATGATGAGGACCCACTGTCAGATGTTTTAGTACAGTGGAAATGGAAGTTTCCAGCCGATACTATACACCAGATCTGGGAGAAATAAAAAACAAGTTGATGGAACGGAAATTTCTTTGACGACTAGCAATTCACCCAGGCAAAAAATAATATTTATGTACGAGTACTGCTGGATTAAAACACACAGATTTATTGTAGTGTAATATTATAATATATTATAAATTTACAATATCAATAGTTGTTAGTTCCCGTTCGAAACGGGGACTTATGTTTTGACCTCTGTGCGTGCGTGCGTGGACTAATAAAGCTGGCAGTCCCTGTTTGCGTAAACTTATATCTTGGTATTGTATGCATTTGTATAGGTTTATTGTTTAAGTTAGTTTTGAATCATATATCATATATCATTCCACATTACACTGATTCAAGACAGAAATTCACTAAAGATGATTTGGTGAATATGATTCTTTTTCTCATTAACATATTTATACTGTGTGGCGGGAAAATCTTCCAACAAGCTTTGGATAAAAGGCTTCTTGATATTTTTGCAATTATTACTAAAATTCGTTAGACCAGTAAAATTCAGCTGAATCTCAGTGTTACGAGAAAAAGTATATATCTAGAGTATATAATAAGAATAAAGAATGGTGGTATAGAACATTTGTATCTCGTGTTTTGAAGATTGCACACGATTCAACACACAATACTCATAAAGGTACCAGTAAAATTGTGTATGTATCACCCTAATGTGGTACATACACACTATCATACATTGTTCTCTTCTCAATGAGAGCTGGGCTAACTGATTGAAGTAGAAAAGTTCTAAGCTGTGTAGTAGAACATCGATTAGTATGCATATAGTTTTAATACATGTACTATCCTTACACTTAGAAAAAGGGTGGGTCACAATTTTCCTTGCAGCATTCAAGGGGGAGGTCAGCAAATTTCATGCAAATGTTTGCGAAGGGTCATATATTTTTATGTATGCGACTTACAAAAAACACCAGCCTACCCCTTTGTAATTTTTGTCCAGTCCCTTATCCCCCGCATAAATAATGATTCACACCCAGGACTTTCAGACCACATTTCATTTCATTTGTAAACACTTATCCAGAGCGCATGCATATGTCCGTCGTGAACGCTAAAGGGCAGTGGTCGTCGCGCAGCGCGTGTTTGAATTTCAATGTACTTTACACGCGCTGTGTACGTTGCTATGGAACCCATATCAAACAGGATGCGGCGCGACGACCACCGCTCTTTAGATGAGAGTACGGCATATAAACTAACTCGGCGAATTGGAATTCATGTAGCTCAGTAGTTCAGTCAATTTGTCGCACATTCGGAATTATCCGTATTTTGTTCTCATATATTATAGCTTTTTACGGCATACACCGTGACCACTGGAATTCTAGAACGCCCATTGGTCAATTCAAGACAGTCGTAGTGCAATTCACACAAATGCAACTTACCAGTCGTGACTTCTGCGGTCATACCTGTCTTCGCGGTGTAAGTTGTGACTTCTGCGGTCATACCTGTCTTCGTGGTGTCAGTTGTGACTCCTGCGGTCGTCCCAGTCTCTGTGGCGTCAGTTGTGACTTCTGCGGTCGTACCAGTGTCCGTGGTGTCAGTTGTGACTTCTGCGGTCGTACCAGTGTCCGTGGTGTCAGTTGTGAATTCTGCGGTCGTCCCAGTTTCCGTGATATCAGTTGTGACTTCTGCGGTCGTCCCAGTCTCTGTGGCGTCAGTTGTGACTTCTGCGGTCGTACCAGTGTCCGTGGTGTCAGTTGGGACTTCTGCGGTCGTCCCAGTTTCCGTGATA